GTCGCCGTCAATCACTACGGTGATCAACAAAATCTCCTTGTATATTCTTGCAAGGCAGTGCTTGTTTGTCAATTTTGTATCAAATTTAGCATCAGATAAGGAATCTTTCCCTCCTCATATCTTACCAGAATATACATGATAAAGATTTGTCAGTGGTTCTTAACAAATTGCCGACGGGCATGCCATGACATGCCCACTGTGAGATTACTTGTTGGATTATTCTTACACATAGATGGCTACACTTGTACTAAATCACCAATGAGCCATATACGAGTACCGCCTGTCTCACCCATTCACCCTTTTCTTTGATTTACAAAATATTTTATGTTATCTTATTTTGCTGTTACTAATGTTAAAAAACATTATAAAAATTATCATGTTTATAATAAAAATAACACCATCGATATTCATGGCACTGGTGAAAAATATATTTTTCCCGCCATTTCAAATCAGTTACTAACAGAGCCATCTATGGGCAGAAATTTAGCAAAAAAGTGTAGAAAATCGGCACAGCATTTTCCCCATTTTTTGTTCATTTTCCCCGGCGGCAGTGGGTTAAGTAAAGGTGTGGAAGCCACAATGAGTGCTTTATATGGTTATGTCGTCCTATTGTTCATAATCAACAGCTAATCTCGCAAAATGTGGGAATTTCAACAGAATGAAGCTAAAAATATATTGAATTATTAAAAAATCAACTAAAAAAATCCCTTTTACAGTTCAGCCAGCTGAAGATTCGCCAAAATATTTTGGAGATTTATGGGGGACTCTCACACTGAATGTTTTTTTAAGAATTCATGATTGGAAAATACATTACAATTTTTATTTAGTACTCATTTTATATAATCAAGTTATGCAAAGGAAAGAACTTTTTTTTTGAGAAGAAAATATTTTGAAAATTCTCTTGACTTTTATTTTATAAAGTTATATTTGAAAATGATTGAATCCATCTATTAGAAACTGAAGACATTGATTTTGAGATTTGCTTGTTATGCTTTGTAATTAACTCAATGCTGATGGGCATAGCATGTACGTAAATGCCATGCCCACTGTGAGTTACTTTATTAATTGTTTATACACATAGATGGCAATCAAGGCTAGTAAAGGTGTGGAAGCCACAATGAGTGCTTTATATGGTTATGTCGTCCTATTGTTCATAATCAACAGCTAATCTCGCAAAATGTGTGAATTTCAACAGAATGAAGCTAAAAATAGATTGAATTATTAAAAAATCAACAAAAAAATTCCCTTTTACAGTTCAGCTATCTGAAGATTCGCCAAAATATTTTGGAGATTTATGGGGGAGTCTCACACTGAATGTTTTTTTAAGAATTCATGATTGGAAAATACATTACAATTTTTATTTAGTACTCATTTTATATACTCAAGTTATGCAAAGGAAGGAACTTTTTTATGAGAAGAGAACATTTTGAAAATTCTCTTGACTTTTATTTTATAAAGTTATATTTGAAAATGATTAAATCTATCTATTAGAAACTGAAGACATTGATTTTGAGATTTGCTTGTTATGCTTTGTAATTAACTCAATGCTAATGGGCATAGCATGTACGTAAATGCCATGCCCACTGTGAGTTTACTTTATTAATTGTTTATACACATAGATGGCAGCACTTGTACTAAGTCATCAATGAGCCAGTTACGAGTACTGCCTGTCTCGGCCATTTACCCTTTTCCTTGATTTACAAAAATAATTTACATTATCTTATTTTGCTGTTACTAATGTTTATAACATTATAGTAATTATAGTGTCTAAAATACAAATAACACCATTGATATTCATAGCATTAGTAAAAAATAAGTTTTTCCTGCCAATTCAAGGACAGGTGAAATTAAGGTAAGGTCACAAGGTCTACTAATTGACTCCTTTGTGGCTAAGTACTAGCAGAGCCATCTATGTGGAAAAAAAAAAAATGAGCACAGTATTTTCCCCGCAGCATTTGGTTAACAGTTTGAAAGCCTTATCAAACTGTAAACTATAAAAATAACAAGTAAACTAAAGAACTAAAGTATTCATATATAAGTGAGACACTACCTTCATCTTCTCCTATGATCAGCTAAACTTAACCTGCCACACTTTCCCAACAGGCCCTGGGCATCCGATGAAACCACACAGACTCTCCATTACACACAGTCTTGTTTTACATTATGGGCTGTATAAGAAGCTACAAATCTACAGACCCTACAGAGCAAACTTCCATGACATGACAAGGTATGGCCATTGCATTACAGATCCATTGATTTCTAATTTGCCATTATAGACATGTTTAGTGTATTTCTGTATGTAGTTCTTGATTATGAAGCATATTTCATGAAAATGATGTGAGTGAATATAATTATATTTGAATCAAGCTATTGTATAGCTTCCATGTACTGTGTATTAAATATGATACATTAATGTTTCCTTTCAGATTTCATTCTGAAGAATACATAGATTTCCTTATGCGTGTTTCTCCGCAAAATGCTCAGAACTTCACAAAGAATTTGGGGCAGTTTAATATGGCAGATGACTGGTAAGCTTGTAGTGAAGACTACTTTTGCTTGAACTTGGATTCTGCAAAAAACTGAGTCTGTTATGTATCCTGTATCAGAAATGTTTTGTATTAGCAAGGAATATTACAAGGCTAGTTAAAGCAGTAGAGACTGAAATGCGTATTTACACCCACAGCCCAGTGTTTGATGGCTTGTATGACTTCTGCTCCATGTACACTGGTGCCTCGTTAGAGGGAGCTGTCAAGCTGAACCACAATTGTTGTGACATTGCCGTCAATTGGTCGGGAGGTTTGCATCACGCCAAGAAATTTGAAGCCTCAGGATTCTGTTATGTTAACGATATTGTAATAGCCATTCTAGAAATGTTAAAGTAAGTTTGAGATCTGCTTGAAGACATGACATTTTGATTAGTTAACTGTCTTTAGTAATGAAATATATTGACTACAACTTGTGTATATGTATCTGTATATATTTTTTTACTTGTTTAAATGTAAATCTATAAACTCCTTCATAGTTATTAAAAAAAATTTTAATCTGAGAATTAATTTACTTTGTTCCAGGTATCATCCAAGAGTACTGTATATTGACATAGACATTCATCATGGCGACGGAGTACAAGAGGCTTTCTACCTCACAGACAGGGTTATGACCGTTTCTTTCCACAAATATGGGAATTATTTCTTCCCAGGAACTGGTTAGTATGATAATATATTTAGAAAAAGGATAATTGATTTTATTGCATATATAAATGCAGAATAACTGAAAACAAATGGATTTGACTTGCTTGTTTTAACATTTTTTTTAGGTTCTGAATTTGTTATAGAGATAAAGAATTGCAACTCAGATCTCAGGGCCTGAATCTCAATGTGTAAGCTCTATGTAACATTCTCTTTACAGGTGACATGTTTGAAATTGGGCATGAAAGTGGCAGATATTATTCAGTGAATGTGCCCTTAAAGGAGGGCATTGATGATGCCAGCTACATCCAGGTCTTCAAACCTGTCATTGAAGTGAGTGGCTTTGCTTATATTTTTTTCTGAAACTTAGCTATAATGGGGTGGTGAAAGAAGGATAGTATTAATGTTATTAGTTAACCCGTTGGGAATGGGTAATATGCTATCATACCATGGTGAATAATTGCTGAGGCTGCTTAACCCATTCGCCACGGATTTATGTTCTGTCCCCTGCAGTTTTTAGTGAATTATATTACATACAGATGCCTCCACATGTACTCAGCCGGCAAGGAGTCTATCAGTAGGCCCTAGTTACCGACCCTGATTTTCCCATTCATTGCATTGGCGGGAAAATTAATACCATTGCTATCGATACAGTTATTATTGTTATTGATGTTATGATTACCAAATTGTCACTAGAATATTTTAGACAATGAAATGATACAAAAAAAAAAAAAACTTGCCAAAAGTGAAGGAAAAGGGTAAACAGGTGAAATAGGTAGTTCTTGATAACTGGCTGTTTGGTGATTTAGAACTTGTGGAGCCATCTATGTGTAAATACAATAAATAAACGTGTCTCAAAGTGGGTATGGCATCTATTCTTGCCAAATATGGCGAATGGGTTAATGCCTCATCACATTATGAGTCAGTGTCCTAATTGTTAGGATGTTGTACCATGGTTGCCCTTCCTTGTGGTTTTACCAGAAATTTTATCCTTCTTTTTTAAGTTATACAAAAAAGATACAAAAAATCAAAATAGAAAAATACTTTTAAGAGATGGTGGGCTGTTTTTTTTTTTTTTCTTGAAAATCTTTGTGAAATTATAGTAATGATAATGAATGTAATATATGAATATTTGATATTAATATAATAAGTCTGATGTTGAATGATAATAACATTAATAATGAGTCTGATATTTCTCTTGAGGTTCTGAACTTTGGAGTCCTTTAGGGATTACCATTGAGTTGAGGGATGGAAAGAAAACTAATACTATAAAAAAGAAAAATATAATTTCCTCTCTCTCCAGGGTGTGATGGAGTTCTACCGTCCAACAGCCATTGTTCTTCAGTGTGGTGCAGATTCCCTCTCTGGAGACCGGCTTGGCTGCTTCTCACTCTCCACAAAAGGCCATGGGTGTGTATGGCATGCTTTGTGTGTGATTGTTTATTTGTTTTTTTCTTGTTTGTTTTTGTAAGAATTTATGAGGTTTTGTAGATTTTTTCCAGTCTATTGTATTGCCTATCTCTCTGGATTATGTATATTAGAAGGGTAAGTGAACACAAAATCCTATTCACCAAAGTCATAGTAGTGGTAGAAAAATCCATAATGCACAGACTATGTGAGTACTTTGTTCTTTTGACATTTTCATTATCTATGAGACCTATGCAGTGTCAACTAATGTATCTGCAAATGTTTGGCAAGTTTCCTCCGACCACACTCATGACATCACCCCCATACCCCATGTAGGCCCCTCTTTTCCCTCAACCAATCAGACAGTTGTGTTTTCTCAGCTCTTCCTAATTGTGAGTGGAACGTAGTGACATCGAATTAGGGATTCTGGGACTGGATGGTATATTTCATCCAGCCAAACTTTTGGGCTTTTCCTCTCTCACATTTCCCCCCCCCAGATACTCTTACTTATCACAGTGTTAACCCACTGGTATATCATTAATCTTTGATCTATACTTCTAGGTAATTATGAATGTCTAAATAGATTTTATAGATTTATATGATAAGCATTTGATTATGTTGATTTGTATGTCATATTTCTACATTTAC